AGATAAGATCCAATGAATTAAGCACAACCAATTACACAAAGTACAACCAACCTGCAGACGATTGAACACAATCTTTAACTGCAGAATCATCGCCAATCCATTAGCTATAGGTTCATTCAACTTTGGATAGATAAATGTGCGAGCCTCGTGACATTTCATGGCAACCGGTCAAATGACAAAGAATCTTTCAATGAACCACGAGTTCAATAGGCATTCATCTTAAGAACCTAAATCTTAGTAAGATATCAATGGGGTAATAACAATTGCTTGAAGTACTAAAGCAAGCACCTTTGACTTTGTAGACCCAAAGAGAAGAATTAACAGTTAAGCATAACTTCAAGAACAACAAGTCAAACCAGATAGATAAGCCGATTTCCTTATATCTTCTAGAAAACTGAATAATCAGAATCAGATCCAAAAATCCCAGCCAGAAGAATGATTAGAAGCACTCAAAATTCTAAGATCACAACCAAAGCACTAGAATAATGACTATAGACTATCAAACCTCTAATTGATCAGGTTAGAAGCATGACTGAGAACACTCAAAAATCTGATTAATTCCTGAACCTCCAGAACACTGATTGCATACCTTCAAGACCTCTGATTGAACAGGTCAAAAGAAAAGAATGAAGGCACTCAATGTTCTAGCCTCTTATAGAGAACTCCGGAATAATGATTACAAATCCTCAAACTCTAGCTAGTCAAATCAAATACTAAAACCAGTCAATATTGTTCTGCAATCTTGACAAATCCGTCTTTATTCTTCAAATCTCAATTGGTTGACGAAAAGTCAAATTTTGACTTTAAAAGTCAATTGTTGACAAAAATTTGTTGTATAATGCTCTTAAGGGAAATATTTGATAAAATATCTCCTTAACCATTAAGCACAGGAAAACATGGCTAGGACATCCATTAAGCACACAGTTAAGCTCAAGAGTCAAATACTTCAAAAGATGAACGGTGAGCATAAGATAGCTTACTCATCGCTCATGCCTTAGGCTTAAACCCCTTATCACACATACCTTGGCCGATGAACTAGGTTATCACTCAGACCTTAGCGATGAATAATCAACATCATTATCGCTCCCGCCTTGAGCTATGACAGGGTCAATGCTCATCACTTAGGCGATGAAACATGGTTATCAGACATAAAGATGAGCAATTTCATCAATTTCCATGGTATCTTTCAATCATCATTGCACAGGTTAGGGAACTCATTGCTTAAAGCTTTAAGCGATGAGGAGCACTCTCTGGACAACACTTCATCGCATAAGGTAACAAGGTCATCGCTCAGCAAGAGTTCATCGTTTGGAATATTGAGCAATGAGGGCCCTTCATTGGACACCACTATGAGCAGATTCATCTTTATCGCATAAGACTTAGACGATGATCATAGCTCTCCGAACAACCCTTGAGCGATGAGCATTCTTTATTGCTCAAAATTCATCTAAGTCCAAGGTTATCGCTCAAACCAAGTTACCAAAATTTACATTCTGACCAATGAGCACACTTTATCGCTTAGTTCTTCGTATCATCATTGGGCGATGCGCACCACTTCATCGCTCAACGAATAAAATTCAACCAGCGATGAGGAAATCATTATAACATATTAAGTCCAGTTCGACTTTGAATCATCTAAATCACCAAAATTAAATATATAGCCTCAAATTGATGATTCAGAAAGGTTCGTAATCACCAAAATGCTAATCCTTAAGCATTAAATTGAATAGAAACATTAAGAATAAGGTGAATTTGAATCTGTTAAGCCTAAAAATGTCAAACAAGAAGATGATGAAGGATGCGATACTGTTTCATTGAAAAACAATACACAAATCTTGAATCTTTTGCTGAATTGATTGATCGTATCGAAAATGATAATATGATTCAATTCTGATACCAATTGTGAATCCTAGATCAACAACAAATCAAGATAGATTGAGAGATGAAAATGATAATCCAAGAACATTAAAGAACTGAACAGTTTTCTATTATTGGAAAGCAAGAAATACAATCTCACAAACTCTCTAAATGACTCTCATTGAAAATACAGGGAACGAAAACTATCAAATCTAAGCCCCATGTCCCTATTTATAGGTGACATTTACATGTTAAGCCCAATAACTCTTAACCCAAATACAATGAATATTACAATACAATACAATAAAAGGACTTTATAAAACTTTCTAAACGTAGGAGTATTTTTGTCCTAACAAGAATCTCACACAATTTCTCAGCTATTAGGACTTCTCAACAAAATGGAATAATTGAAAGAAGAAATAGAACTCTAGTTGAAGTTGCTGGAAGCATTCTAGCTTATTAAAACTTGCCTATATTCTTATGGGTTAAGGCTATTTCCACTGCTTGTTTTACTTAGAACAAAACCATAATAAATAAAAGGATAAATAAAACCCCATATGAGATTATAAATTATAGAAATCCTAGCATTAATTATTTTCATGTGCTTGGTTGCAGATGCTTTATGTTAAATGATAAAAGTAATCTTGAAAAGTTTGCCAAAAAGGTTGATGAAGGCATATTCATTGCATATTCATCTGTCACAAAATCCTGTAGGTTCTATATCAAAAGGACAAAGATTATCCTTGAGAGCATCAATGTGACATTTGATGAAAAAACTGTTTAGACTTCTGAACAACACAGTTCAGGATTTAAGCTAAAAATTTTAGCTTATGTACACAATAGCGCAGGACCTAAACTAAATCAAACTAAGACTTCTGAACTCATTTCTACAAGTTCAAGTGATTCAAAACTTATTTATTATTTTAGAATTCATTTGACGATTCTCTGATTTGATTATAGATTATATGTGATAACCGGCATTTAAGACAGCAATGGTTGAGGTAATACTTATGTGATTATTATGCGAATATGTGATAATTTGCATGATTATTTAAGTAAATGCATGGATCATATATATATATATATATATATATATATGTGAATATGTTATTGTGCATATGTGAGGAGTTGTTAAAATATATGTGTGCATGTATGATGATATGCATACATGAGAATTATTTAATATAAATATATGCATATTTGTGGTTAAGAATGAGAGGTTTAAAAATAATAAAACACACCGCCCTATGAGTTTTATAATAATAAAACTCACACCGCCTTGTTAAAGATATATATAGAAGAGATAAGATTAAATCTTATCTCACTTTTTGGAGAAATCTTTGTGAAGAAGAAAAGTGTGTGTGTGGCGGTGAAGGTGTTCTTGAAAGAAATTTGGCATAAAAAATGATTTGAAGCTTCTATGAAGTATTTGAAGCTTTGTTGTGTAATCTGTCATCAACCTGTGCATAATAAGATGAGTTTTGTTATTAAAATCCTTAAATAATGTTATTTGAAATATATGGTTTAGATGATTGATTTTGATGAAGAAAGGTGAATGTTTCAACAAGTTGATTTGAGCTTTATAAATCTGGGTTTTGGAACTGTTTTGAAATATAAAGGAGATTTTGCTTCTTTTAACAATAGTTGAAGATGATATCCTATTTTAAAGATAAAAGGGGTTTTGAGTTTGGAAAATGATATTAAAGAATTGTTGGTTCTCGAGTTTCAAAGTTTTGGAAATAAAAATGTTTTGAAACCATTATCGGTTAAAAACTATAGAGGATGTTCCTTCAAGATGGTTGTGACTTCGGTCTGTCTTTGTTTGGAATTAATCTATAGATTTTGATGAAGAAATAAGGAAGGCATATCAAGGAGATGTGTTCCACGGGATAAGGTGGCATATCAAGGAGAGGTGTACCTTCGGATATAAGAGTGGCATATCAATGAGAGGTGTACCTTTGAATATAAGGATGACATTTGTATGTGTGATTGTTATTATAACTCTGGCTATTATGTCTCTTGCTATTATGTCTTTTAAGATTGCAATAGTTTTGAGTTCTTACTTCTTTGTGATTTGAGGACTCAGGAATGTTGCTCTTTTTAGAAATGGTAATAATGATGTTATTGAGAAGGGGAAAACTTGACTTATGGCAAAGGTTTTGGATAACCAAGCTTTTGATAAAATGTATGATTTATGAGGAATAGAGAGGCTCTGGTTGTTCCTTGAAAGGAACCAAAAGGGCTTTGGTCATTCCTCACATAGGACCAGAGGGGCTCTGGATGATATTTGTATATATTACAAGTCATTTACAAATCTTTTACCTAGACAAGAGGCTCTATATCTATTATATCGAGGCTCTATATCAGGGGTTGTGTTTTGAAAGTGTTCATAAGACTTCTTGCTCTTATTTTAACTTAGAGAATTTCTTATACAAAATGTCTTTAACAAAGAAGGACAAACCAGAGGGGCTCTGGTTGTTCTTGGTTTTTGAGCTAGAGGCTCTAGTTAGTAGAACCAGAAGCTATGGTCTTATATACGTTTTTAGATTATGCTCTTTTATACTTTGGCAATGTTTACATCCATCCTCTATGTTTGATTTGGTAGTCATGTGAATGTTTAACTTGAAAGGAGCTCTCGTTGGTATAACAAGAAGCTCTGGTCAAAGGAACCAGATGGGCTCTGGTCCTGTTATTTGATGAAAAATCTTTCTAAGTCTGGTTCTTGCAACCAGAGGGTTGCTGATTATTATGAATGATGAAAATATGTTCTTATTATATGAAAAGTTGGTTTTAAATAATGTTTTGATGATTTTCACATTGCAACTACAAGGAAAAAGGGATTACACTTGACCTTCAGGTCTAACCCTCATGAGTACAATGATAGTAAAGGAAAAAAGAAAAATATAATTTGTTTCCCTATGTGCATATCTATTTGGAGATCAGCCTATGTATGTATTTTGAAGTTGAAATGTTATGTTATACAAGGACTTGTATTTTGGAATTTTTGAGTTGTGTATTTTATATCTTAGTATCTTGTACTATGGACCTAAGTGGGATAGTACATGTATTTCTTTAAATGAATTGTGTAATATGTAATATGAGATATGGGGTGTTACATTATCAAACTTCAAGACTATCTACAGATTCAACTATTCCTACTTCAGATAAAACAGAACTAAGTGCTAGAAATCTATCTGGACCTGCTGAAGTAAATGTTGATTTTTCCTTAGAATTATAAAGTGAAACTATCTCTGACAAGCTAATACGACTTTAGAGCAAGTAGGTCAAACCTTGTTGTTCTGGGCTTATCTACTTTAGAGATACAAACTATTGAGAGGAGAAATAAAAGGAACAAACATAGATACATGCCATTCATGTTGAGAATGACATTCAAAATGATCAAAGTGTTTACCAACTCTTACCAAACACACACGAATGGACTAAACATCATCCCTTACACCAGATCATTGGTGAACCTTCAAGAGGAGTGCAAACAAGGTCAGATACAGTCAATAAATATTTGTTTGTTATCTTCTAAGGAAGATAGAGCCAAAGAATCCATTTGATGCATCACAAAATCCATATTGGGTACTTGTGATGCAAGATGAACTTCTACAGTTTGAAAGAAACAAAGTTTGGAGAGTGGTTCCAAAGTCTAAGGACAAATCTGTTATTGAAACAAAGTGGGTCTTCATAAACAAGAAATATGTTGATGGGATAGTTGTCAGAAACAAAGCTAGACTAGTTGGAAAGAGTTATTGTCAACAAGAATGGATAGACTTTGATGATACTTTTGCATCAGTTGCTAGGGTTGAAGCCATTACGATATGTTTGGCTTATGCAGCACACACAAAATTTAAAGTATTTCAAATGGATGTGAAATCTGCATTCTTGAATGGTGTGCTATATGAAGAAGTGTCCATCATCAGCCTGAAGGATTTGAAGATCCTAAGCATCGAGATTATGTATATGTTTTGGGCAAAGGTTTGTATGGACTAAAATAGGCTCTGAGAGCATGGTTTGATACTTTGACTGAATTTCCCATCAATTATGGATTCAAGAAAGGTACTATACATACTACACTATTTTTGAAGAAATAATGTAAGGATTTAATCTTAATTTAGATTTTATGTGGATGATATAATTATTAGGTCTACAAGTTCAAGAGTTTATAAGAGTTTTTCAAATATAATGAAAACTAAGTTTAAAATGAGTATGATGGAGCAATCATCTTCCTTTCTTAGTCCTAAAGTAAAACAACTCTCTAAAGGCATATTCGTTAATCAAACTAAATATATTAATGATACTTTGAAAAAATTATGTTAGACCCCATCATTCTTATTTGTAAAAGTAATGAAAAACATACAAGTGTGAAGGTACAGAAGGTCGATGGAAGACTAGCAAAGAAAAATCCTAAGTGTTCAATACAACCATAGATGCGATGAAGGTCCATAGGTGCGATGAACAACGCATCTCCATAACCCCTCTGGTTAACAACACTTGGAGATTTCAACAACAGTTCAACCAGAGATATTCATTCAAGAAGACTCAAAGACTCATGGTTGAATACGCCTCCAAGAAGACAGCTGGAGATGACAAATCCAGAGCTGGATTATCATTGCTTTATATAGATAGATATTATTTCCATATTTCTAGATTGCTATCTTTCCTTAGAAGATTTGCGATATATCTTCCATAGATAGTTATCTCCTTATTTAGATTACTAGTATAAATAGTCTTTATATTTCTTGTAATCGTTAACATTTCCATATCATTAAAATCAATAATAGTGAATCCTTTGACACTCCAATTAATCTTTGAATATTCTTGAGTTGTTCTTCACTATTTTCATCCAATACGATATATTTAGGTTATTCATAACTTGAATATTCGTGTTATTGAGAGATCTGGGATCAACAATTGGTATCAGAGCAAATTGATTGATTTTCAATCAAAACAATCAATATGAATCTAAATATTCAAAAATCTCTCAATATTCTCCCTTCATTAAATTTGTGTTCTTCTCTTCCAAAATCGTGTTCTTCTCTTCCAAAAAATTCTTATGGCCAACTGGAATTCTGCATATAGTGAGGGTTCCTTCACCAAACCTCCAACTCTTCAATGTGAAGAGTATCCACAATGGAGGATTCAAATGGTGAAATTCTGGGAGGGGATGGACATAAATCTCCTCAAATCTGTCATGAAAGGCCCATATGTTCTTCAGACTCTTGTTCTAAGAGTTCCTGGAACAAGTACTACTATAGAAGTTGTTGCCTACTACATGGTGAAAGATGAACATAACTGGGAAGAAGATGACACATAACGAGTAGAGGCAGACAGGAAGGCTAAAAGGCTAATCATCATGGCCATTACAAACGACATTTTTCAATCCCTCGATGATTGTACAACAACAAAGGAGATATGGGATAAGCTAGCCAGTCAACTGAAAGGAGGCGCAAAGACAAAGAAGAACCGTAGGGCACAGTGCTTGAACGAATACACAAACTTCAAGGCATTGCCTGATGAACCGATTCAAAAGACTTATGATCGTTTCAACACATTGATTAATCAATGTCGCATAAATGACATTGCCAGGACCAAAGAAGAAAACAACGTCATATTCCTCAAAAGTCTCGACGATGAGTGGACTCAACTGTCGGTGTCCCTCCAAGAAAATCAGGACTTAGACAGTTGGTCTCTTCATGACGTCTATGGAACTCTTGCTGCTCATGAAAAAGATATATTGAAGAGGAAGTTGTCCATCGGTGGACCTCTTGCTTCGGCTGCAGAAGAGAAAGAGGTTACAAGGAGTTCTTCCAGAGACCATAAGAAAAAGAGCAAGAAGGCACTAGTGTTTGTGTCAGAATCTGAAGAAGAAGCATCTGACTCTAATGATGACCTCAAAGCTTTTGCCAAATCTCTGGCCTTGATAACTAAATAATTCCAGAAGAAGTTTGTCAATTATTGATCCCAGATCTCTCAATACACTAATAATCTAGTTAATGATAACCAAATTATAGTGATTTGATGAATAAAGTGTTGAATACTCAAGAAGAAAGTAAGAACAATTAAGAATAATCTTGATTATAAAAGATTTCACTTTATGAAATAATAAAAACGAAAAGCTTATTTTTACAATAGGCCTAACCACCTATTTATATTTATAAGCTAATACGAAGATAACTATCTAGTGAGACATTTTAGCTAATCTTCTTATTAACAGATAACGCTTATCTAAACTATGAATAAGCTTTAATATCAAAGATAAACTCGAAGTCTAGCAGTTGACTTGTCTTCTCCAGCTGTCATTCATAGTGTGATGAATCATCCTTATCTTTAAGTCTTCATCGCATGCTTCAGGATGAATTGCTGGAAAATACTCTAAGTATAGTTGACCAAAGGTTCGATGGAGATGCTCTTTCCATCGCATCCTTGGTCGTCCATCAGTCCTCTGGTTGTGCTCCAGACTTAGCCGTTTCTTCCTTGATGTCTTCATCGGTCTTCTGGTTCTTCATCACTTATTGTTTTTCAATACTTTTTACATAATGAATTATGGGGTTTAACAATCTCCTCTTAAGTAATGAAATAACAAACATATACTAATGTAGATACACTTGTGAAGAACAGAGACTAAACTAATAGAAAAACATCAAATTTCCAATTTTCATTGGCTGATGAAATTCTTACAATACTGGAATCAAAATACATTAAGGCAAAACAAAAATACAACTCATCATGAGATACCTTGATATATTTCTCTAAAGCGCATGAGCAGTCTTCGATAYCCGATGACTRTCGATATCTCATGAATGAGCCGACTCCCTTCTTCTCTTGGCACGTGGTTTCTGCCCAGTCTCTCTCTGATGACTTTCTGAAACCATTTAAGTGTATCCGATGAATACTTGAAGGCCTCAGTTAGTCTAAAGAACATTTTAACCCCAAACTCATTCTTGTAAACAAGTCCAAGTTCGGGTTGAGTTAGGACTGAGGCAGATCTTGTCTCCTACAGGCCTTGAAAGTCTTCATTTGGAGGGACGCATGAGAGTCTCTCAATGCCTAGCCAAAGAGCAATTTCAAAATCACTCTTGGCTCTATGGTTCACCAGGGTTTCCATCGTTTTTACTACCGCTCAGTTTGCCATTCCATACCTGATGTCGTGGTTTTGCCTCTGAGCCGTATATGCATATAATTCAATCAAGTCATATGGGTTGAGGTTAATGAGGTCGTTCTCGTTGAACATGCAAACTTGCCCATGTGCTCTCTCTTTAGTGAACTCAATGTATCGAATGGCTCGGTTGGCAAATATCCTTATTTTCAGATCCATGACCCTCCTTATCCCATCATTCGAGAAGACAGCCTGAGGTGCTTATGTGGTTTGTCTAATGAATCTAGGGTGTAGGAGGTCCACGGACTCAGGCGATAAGATGGAGGGTTGATGGTCAAACTTTCATCACGGTCTTGATATAAGTATTGATGAATGTTTTCTAGCAAAATTGGTTCCCTGGGTGGCAATTCAGGACGTCTCCGCATCGACTCCATGCTTTGTATGATCTCATCTACCAGGCTCTGAGGGGGTTGCCTTGATGAAGATGGAGTATCCGCATGCACCACGGGTGGCTTGGTTGAGGGTTGTGTATGATTTGGTGAGGGTATGGTTTCTTGTGGTTCATTTGGTTCGGCTTGGGTGGTTTCAGGTGCATGGAGTTCTGTTTGGGTTTGTGGTTGTTGGGGTGATGAAGGTTGGATTATTGTTGGTTCTGGTTGTATGGGTAGGATGAAGGGTTGAGTGGTGCGAGGTGTTGGTGAAGGGTTAAGGGTAGGTTTGATGTGGGTGTTGAAGAAAAAGGTTGGTTAAGTTGTGTTGGTGGGGTAGTAGGTTCTTCATCGGTTGAAGACCTCAACACGATGGGTTATGGGGTTGCAGCGAAGGGAACATGTACATGTACATCTTCAGAGGGCAGAGCCTCTGGTTCCCTTGCTTGGGTTCCTTCGGTTGAAGGTGGTGGTTGTGTTTGTGGTGATGGTGGTGGTGGTGGAATGGATTCTGTTTGTCGTGCAGCCACGGCCTCTGTCTCCCCCTCATGAGGTCCAAGACCTTATTCATCGGGGTCTTGGTCTTCATGTCTCGGCCTTTTGTGTTGGCGGCTGCTGGAGTAAGAGGCTCTGGTCCTCTTCTTCTTCTTGTCTTTCCTGAAGGATGTAAGATACGCCATCAGGGCTTCTTGTCTTCGAATCGCCTCCATTATTTGGAGGAGAGAGGTGGTGCGCCTTTGTTCATCGGCCAGGTTCTGGGAGAGAACCCTTGTTGGATAGATGGCCCGATGAACGAATTTGGCACTGATCTCATTGAAAGATGAGACTAGCGCCTTTGACAGAGCCCTTAGGTCAGCTCTGGTTGCGAAGTCGGTAGAGGAGGATGAGGCTTGTAGTGGTATGGAGGTGGTGGTGGATGTATATGGAGGGATGGAAAGGTTGGTGATGAGGTCTCTCACCTCTGCAGTGAATACGGAGAAGGCTTCATCAAAGGATGGGCCTGCAGAGGGAGGTTGGGGTGGAGGAGTAGGCTGTGGGATTTGGGCTAGGATAGTAGCGGGTAGTTGGCTGAGGGTGGTTTGTATGGAGGCCATTTGGTTGGTGAGGTTTGCAAGGGTAGCATCAATGGATGAGGTGGATTGAGGTGGGGCTTGAGCAGGAATTTGGGAGGTGATGGTTGTGGGTAGTGAGTGAAGGGTTCGAAGGATGGTTTGTAGTTGGGAGATGATATAGGTTAGGTTCTCATCAGCCTCAGTTGCCTGGGCTGTGAGGGTGGCGATGGATTGGATGAGGGTTTGGTTTAGTTGGGTGGCAAGGAAGGATGTGGTGTTGTGATGTTGGGTGATGGTTTGTTGGAGCATTTGAAGGCGAGTGGTATTGGTTTGGGTTTGGGTTTGGGTTTCGATCTGGGTGAGGTGGTGTTGGAGGATTGCAAGGGATTGTTGGAGGTCAGAGGTATCGATGGA